AATTTTCATCTTTTATATATATATATTTCTGAAGTATATTTGTCGCATCAGAATGTCTCTACATGCATAAGTTTCTTATAACTACAAATGATCAGAAAGACGCTTTATACTGAAAGGCAAATATCTCCCAATATTTGATGCAGCCTTAGTTCCCTTACTTCTGAATTGGGTTCAAAATTACAAGGCTACAGAGGTGAGCATTAGTAGTCGTAAACCCAAAATTGGTGGACTGTTCAACTACGGTTATTAAATAAAATTAATTAGTGGGGACCGGGATAGCTTCCACTAATTAATGGTTAGTAGGGCATTGAACTCGTGTTCGTGAGAACGGGAGTTTGAATCCAGCTGGTCGAGGAATCCCCATGTGACTGATTCTCGTTAAATCTGCCTGGCTCACAAAGTCCTCCAAGTTCCCTTGTCTTCTGGATTGGGTTCAAATATTACAAGGCTACGGAGCTGAACATTGGTAGTCGTAAACTCAAACTATGTTGTTAAAGAACCATGCTATGTCATCCCTACTAAGATCTTATCAGTGGGGTTGAACTCTCATCCATACTGAGGAAGTTGGGTCGTGATCTCAGCCTATAGACGAGAGGTCATCTATCCGAAGTGGGGTGGAGGGCTCATCCCATGGCACTCTAGTATGAGAGGTTACCAATCTTAGAAGTGGAGTGTAGCGCTACTTTTCCCTTCCTGGAGAGCGATCCTAAATTTGATCCCCTTAATATCAATTTTATTTTTTGCGTATTTTGCTATATTTCAAGAACTTAAGCGAATTGAAAAATGCTTGCACTCAATTAAATAAACCCAAATAAACCCAAATAAATTAATAAACCCAATTAAATAAACCAGACTGCAATAATAATTCCATGCGAAAAATTAATTATATTAAGTATTGATTATTTTTGATTATTTTATTTATAATAATCCAAAAAATTTTCAATTGAAAGATATGTAATTTTTACATCATTTTAACGAATATAATTTTACATGGTGAAATACAAAATTTAAATGAAATTGCTAGAATAGTTCCTAAGAAATCGAATTTGAAGAATACGAACTTTTGGAAATTTTATTTCTCAGGAGCTATTTGACTAATTTCACACAAATTTTGTATTCTGACAAGTTAAATTATATATTTTAAATTTTATACCTTACAATTCCAATTTTTTTTCCTGTTATTAAATAAAATAATGAAAAATATTTGCTAAAAGTTCTATTTTGCATGGAATTATTTTTGAATAAACGAATTTTATAATTGTGTGCAAAACTTTTTCAACTCACATGGAAAGTATATGGTATTCGCATATTGCGTAATATGCAAAATATGAAATTAACATTAAGGGGTCTAAATTTCAGAACGCTCTCCTGACCAAACTATCAGGACATTATTTTTCGGATTGCGGCTAACCCCTTTATTTTGGGGGTCAGAAAT